GAAGTTAGACCAGATTTGCTAAGTACAGATAGTCTTTGACATACGACTATACAACTGAGCCCAAAAATCTGTGTCGCTAAGCAAGACAGTAGTTAAGTGAGATTTGCCCCATTTTACAACTTTTCTTGCCAACTGTTAAGTGAATTACTGCAGTTGTTAAGTTAGTAACGTGGTTTTTAAATGAATCTTTCTTCTTCCCCATTGACTTTGCTTGTCAGAAGGTTGCAAAAGGTGATCATATAACCCTGGGGCACTGCAACTGCTATAAATACTTGTCATTAGCTGTCATGCCCCTGGTGGAGACTGACTCTGAGGAAGAAGAGGAACAGCCAACAGGGAGTGTGGCTCCAGAGGTGGTAGAGGAGGCTGGGGAAGGGCAGAGGCCGGCTGAGCAGTCAGAGGAGGATCCAGGCCCATCCCCTATCCATCCTAGGTCACGCAGGGAGGAGAGGATCAGGGAAAAGCGAGGTCTACTCAGGAGGAGATTACCATGATCCTCCTCGTGGCTTGCAGCTGGGAGCTATGTATATAAGTTTGTAACTGCATAGTCAGAATTGCTGGAGTCAAAGTTTAATGTTTTCTTTGAAAGAGGTTTATCTTTGCTGGCGTTCTTCCCATGGACTCTCCTCGGTTATCTTCCTAGAATGTATGATTAATTATCTTGGCTTGCTTCGGAACTCTCGTCAGTGCGGTTTGTTTGGGTTTTCTTTTTGCCTCATTATTTACTTTTGTGACTTTAAACTGTGCCTAATAAAACAGTGAAGTTAAGTTGAAGGCTTTACCGGACTTTAATATATGTTTTGGGTTTGGGGTTATTTTGAGAGACTATGGGTCATCACATTAGCCAAGCATCCAACTTTTGATCATATGACCATGGAGATTCTGCAACCTTCGTGTGAAAAATGGTCATAAGTCACTTTTTTCAGTGCTGTTGTAACTTCAGTCACTAAATGAATGGTTGTACATCGAAAACTCCCTGTAGATATGTTCCCTGAATTGAAGTATAATAAGTAAATAATAATGGATGGAAGTAAATAATATTGGATTACAGCATAATTAAAAGTAATATGAAAATCTAATATAAGAAATAGATAACTGGAATAAAGGGAGGGGTGCATTTCTGTGTATTGATAAATAACTATGGGGAAAATGTTTTCCTTTGAGGACAGGAAATAACACATGACTGGAAATGTCTTATGGAATTTGCCAACTCCTCTGACTGCCTTTTATTTCCTCTCTCCTTCTGCAACTATTCATATGCTTCAAAAGACCAGATCAGGCAATTGAAAGCGGATAAAGTGATTAGAGAAGTTAGTGATGGCACGGGGTAGTAGGTAAACTGCTGAGCAGGCCTTTCTAAGCATTTGCACAGCTAGATTAGATAAAAATGCAGAAGAGGATTTCATGTGAGGTTAGAGAAATGATGAAGTCATGATAAACAAGGAACATATGGGAGACCACAGACAGCCCAGCAAGCCGACTGATAAGTTAGATTGTGACTTCAATGAAAAAGAAAGAAGTAAAATTAGAAACACATAAAATAAGTGTGGACATTCTACTTCCACCAAAATAGGAAAGCAAAAACATGAACATGTTTCTGTTTTCAGAGTTTGTGTGACTTGCAGTAGTTCTTTCCTAGAAGTTGACTCTTCTTAAAGCCCTCCTGCCTTTCTCTTTGAGTCAAGTGAGAGCAGCAGAGAGTCCTTTGGGCCTGGTCCTTAAAAACGGGAGATGTTTTTTTTTCAAAGCAATCTGGTCTGTGATTGCCAGAACAAAGTTATTCAGTCGGTGTCAATTCTCATGTTTGACCTTGTCTGATTCTTATCTGCATGTATGTTTCAGTAGTGTTACCTGGACCTTGGCTACAAGGCTACCACAGACCAGATACAGTGTCGACTTAGCCAAGAACATTCTTGCTCTGTGTAGTTCATATGAGCTCCTGTTTGCTACTACTGTTTCCTTTCCTGCTATTTTAAGCAGTATCATAAAAATCCTTCAAGATAACTCTTTTCTTTCTTTTTCTCTGCTCTGTGTCTGAGAGACAAGTCTGGACCAATTTCTCCATCCTGCCTCTGGCAGCAAATGCAGCTAGCATTTCGGATCCTCTACCAAATCCCAGCTGCTTCAAAGGAAATACCCTACTTTCTTCTGTTAAGATCATAAGGAATAGAGGAGGAGGGGTCAGCTCTGTTTGGACATAATTACACTTCATCAAAAGAAGCTTTCTTCATCTTCCATGCGTGAAAAGTCTGCAAGCAGTTAAGTCTGTCTCCCCCCCTTTTCTTTCTTTCTTTCTTTCTTTCTTTCTTTCTTTCTTTCTTTCTTT